CAGAATAGCCTACTGTGAACATAATCATAGAGTGTAATTTATTTTCAACTCAAAATATCTTCAAACTAATGAAATATAAAGTTATTAGGGAGGAAAATCCGTCTGGATAACAGCAGACTGACTGATCGTAAAATATACGACAGGTCTGGACCACTTGTGAATTTTGTTCGTATCTGAAGAAAATCTTGGAATACGAAAACATTGGTGAATGCCACAAATTCTCCTAAATCACTCGTACGCACAATTTAAGAACAAATCTGTGCGTACAAACAGTTCTTGCATGAGGCCCATTGTGAGCATAAGCTGAATCAGTGTATGTGGTGACCCGCTTGCCTTCTGCCAACAAACATACTTCAGTCAGGCCCACGAGCTCAGCTAGTTGTGCTGATGCTGGCTGAGGTATTATTTCAGCTTTTTCTATTACAAACTGTGGTCCACTGGCTATAACAACTGCATAGCCAGCCACTAATTTGTCTCCTACTCGATAATATGAACCATCGGTCCAAAGCTCCAGGTCAGCGTCTCTCAGTAGGAGAGCTTGCAGGTCAGACCTGAYTTTAGAGTACCTCTCAGCTTCCTTCAAACAATCGTGTGGCTCTCCGTCCTCAGGAGACTGGAGAGTTTCAGCTGGATTTACAGTAGTGCATCTCAACAAAGTAACATCCTCCTGTTCCAGGAGTCTGTGATATACCCTTAGTCTCGGCATAGTCAAAGTACTGTATATGTACCTACATAGTAAAAAGCAAAGTGTAATTTTAACATCTACAGAGTTGAATTTAACTCTTGTTTCATATAATATTTGGTCCCACTCAAAATTACTGTAAAATGTACTCTACAGCCAGTGTAAACTTTTCAGAGTTAATTTTACTCATTTTAGTGTCAAAATCAACAATGAATTGAGTAAAATTATTTAACACTATAGCTCGTTCACACTCTATAGAGTAATATTGTTATTTTTATGGAGTTAATTTTACACTAAACTTTCTTTAAAATATACACTTTATTGTGTAATACTATAATTATGTTTTTTTTTTCCTTTTTACATAGTTTGAGTCAGAGTACACAGAGTTCTAGCCTGGTTTAAACCAGGCCCTGTCCTTCACTTTGCTTCGTACAAGGGTCTGGACTTGATGCATAGAGAATCGACTTCTTGCAGGAGGCATGGCCTCTGCTGAAGTTTAAAATAATTGGATCAGTTGGCTGCGACGTATGTCGCTGTGACGGAGACTAAGCTAAGAAGCTAACAGGAAATCGCGTGTGCTGTAAACAACCTTTTTTTTTCTTTTCTTTTTTTTT